CAAAACAGCATAGTAATGGACAACCGGCAGCTTTTTCTTTTTTTTTAATATATTTTTATTTATTCAGAGAGGAAGGGAGAGGGAGAGGGAGAGATAAATAGAAACATCAGTGAGGAGAATCATTTATCAGCTGCTTCCTGCAAGCCCCCCACTGGGTATCGAGCCTGCAACCCAGGCATGTGCCCTGACCGGGAATCGAACCGTGACCTCCTGGTTCATAGATCAACTCTCAATCACTGAGCCACACCAGCCAGGTGACAACCGCAGCTTTCATGAAAACTTATTAGATAACTAATCACTGTTTGATGAAGGAATGAACAGGTGAACGTCCAAAAAGGGCAGCGTGATCTGGGGTGTCATTTTCCTCATTTTGAGCCTCTTTGCCCACAAGGAGAGCTCCGTGTGGGGCCCATTGACCAGGTCCCTCCCCCTGTCCTCACCTCTTCTGAAGCTCTGTCCAGGTTTCGTGTGGGGTGCTAACAATCTGGATGTCCAGGGAGGACTCTTGACACGCAGCAGTCTCCCCCGAGAAGCCCACTTCTGCCCCAGCATTCATGCTCCCAGCCGCCTGTTGCTTCAAGACCTCAGTGTCACTGAACAGGACAGACACCACAGCAGCATCTGGAAACGAACAAGGTACCTGAGGTTCAGCCAAGAATTCCCTCTGGAACAGCTGGGAAATGGCATGGAAACGGAACGACTGGGCCCTAGCTCGCCCCAGCTCTCCCACTCAACTGAATCTCTCAACTGAGAAGCTAACTCATCAGCTGACATTTTGAATGGAAATGACTCCTGAGGATGTTTGAATCCACCCAGGGGCTGGATAACAGGGATACTGTCCTAACCCTAAGGAATGGTGAGGTCCCCTGTGTGGGTGTCTCAGCATGTCTTGCCAGCTGCACCTCTTCTCCCTGCACCCTTGTTTTGCAGCCCCTGCCTCCTATGCCCCTGGCTGACAATACCTGGGACTGAAGAACCTGGTTCAAGGATGTCCATGAGGGAGGCGTCAAGTGGGACATCAGGTCGTTGCCAAAACCAAGAGCGAGCCTTCTTCCTCTGTATTAGAGAAAACCGGTGTATCTTGGTGGCGCTCAGCAAGGTTTTGACAGGTCTGAGCTCTTGGTCTCCGATCTCTTTGACCAATTTCTTGGTAGTTCTCTCAAACATGGAGGGCATGTTGCTAGGGGCAGAGAGAAGGGAAGCACAAAATCAGCTGGATCTTACAGATTAGATTAACACATTGTTTGTGGGTAGTTTTTATCGCGCGCTAACAGGTGGCGTGGGCCATTTTTGCTAATTTTTTGCGCAAATGGCAACGTTCAGTAAAATTACGATAACTTTAGTTTACGTATTTATACGTTACCTGCATTCTACCTCTAGTCTATAAAAAACGTATTAATACGTGTCCCGCGCTCTACTACACTGGTAGAACGTATAAATACGTAAAACGTATAAATACGTTTCCCGCATACAATGTGTTAAAAGAGTTTTCCCGTGTCATGTAGAGAGAGTTGGCAGTGGCTTGACTGTGTCATAGGCCTTTGTCGTATATTCACAGTGAAGTCACATGCATGTGCAAGTGACCCCCGTTAGCTCTAATGGGCCCTGTATCTTCCTTAGATAACTGTCCATCAGGATGGTCTTTAGTGAACAGATGAGATACCGAGACCTGAGTCCCTGCTGCATCAGGGGACCAATGAGCACTTGCTTAACTTGTTGGAAGTGACGAAGAGGAGGTAAGTTCCCCTCCAAAACCAAATGTACGCACTTCCTTATGCCACCACAGTTCCCATCAAGCTGGCCACACTGTACGATGGTTAGTCCCCCTGGAAGACTGATTGTTAGTGTGTGTGAACTACCCATGTTCAGTGCTGCAAAGCCCATGCTTTTTAAGATCTTACCAAGTCTTGCTGTGACTGAAACAGAACAAGAGTGTGGCCGTCACAAAGGTGGGCATGAGATGGTTAAATAAAGAACAGACGCCTGCATTGTTGTGCTAAGTGGACCATGATTCACCAGAAAATTATGAAATGCCTCATACTCCTAAGTGTAATGAGCCTTGGATGGGTAATTGTCAAACTGTTATCGTCACCCTGTAGTCTCAACCTGTAGTCGTCAACCTGGATGACACTCTCATTCTGCCTTTAAACACTTTCCATTTCAAAGAATGACGTCAGTAAGGTGGCAGAACAGGACCTTTCAGCCCTCATCCCTCCACAGAAACACCAGTTCTGACAACCACCTGTGGGCCAGAGTTCCTCTATGGGATCCTAGAGTCCAGCGGATCAAAATCTCCAGGAGTGGATGCACTGAATAGTGGAAGCAGAGTAGTTTCACTTCCCCATGTCACCCCTCCTCTGAGGCAGCACAATTCAGTCAAGACTAACCCTGTGGCCCACGCTTCTCCCATGGGGGAGTGAGAGCAGTGAGCCCATGCCTCCCCTCCCTTCACCTCCCCTCTTCCCCCCCCCCCCATGCAGGACACTCCTAAGAGGCCTGCTTCTTTTTCATCCCACCCACAGTGCTCAGGCAGGTTGGCATGGCTGAAGACTCTAAGGGCAGGTAGATGGCACTGATAGATGAGTGGGTAGAGAAGATGTACATTTACACAGTGGAATATGACTCTGCCATAAAAAGAATGAAATCTTTCCATTTGAGACAACATGGATGAACCTAGAAAACATCATACTAAGTGAAATAAATCATACAGAGAAGACACATCCCTTCGCCTTATCTGCTTGCATGATGTCACCCAGAATTCTCTGCATTAGGGAGAACTGTAGGAAGAAGTGCTGACTTTGGGGGGTGTATGATACACTCACCTTTCCCTGGGATGTGATTACTAAGCTCACCCATCCCTGGAATGGGGATGACTTACTGTAAATGTGATAAGGCGCCCAACCCAGAAGGAACACCCTGTATGGACATATACATGAC